CCCCGCCCCTCTGCCTGCCTCAGCTGCCTATGGGAGACTGGTCAGTGTTGCTGGATTCATATTTTGTCCTAGGAGAGCAAGGCTGGACTCCGATCATTTTAAAAATCAGCTGCCTCTAAGGCTGAACAAATGGTTTTGTAAATAATCATTGCAATGGTAAAATGCTAGAAAAGGCCCACTTGTGACTGTGGACAAAATAAATACATTTCTGTCATTTGACTCCTGTATTTAATTTGGTCTCTCTTTAGATTTATAAATGAAGGTTGCGCCAGCATTTCAGGAAACAGCGCCCCCCAGAGGGAACAGCCAGCGTTTCAGCAACAGCGCCGCCCAGAGGGAACAGCCAGCATTTCAGGAAACAGCGCCCCCCAGAGGGAACAGCCAGCGTTTCAGCAACAGCGCCGCCCAGAGGGAACAGCCAGCATTTCAGGAAACAGCGCCCCCCAGAGGGAACAGCCAGCGTTTCAGCAACAGCGCCGCCCAGAGGGAACAGCCAGCATTTCAGGAAACAGCGCCCCCCAGAGGGAACAGCCAGCGTTTCAGCAACAGCGCCGCCCAGAGGGAACAGCCAGCATTTCAGGAAACAGCGCCCCCCAGAGGGAACAGCCAGCGTTTCAGCAACAGCGCCGCCCAGAGGGAACAGCCAGCATTTCAGGAAACAGCGCCCCCCAGAGGGAACAGCCAGCGTTTCAGCAACAGCGCCGCCCAGAGGGAACAGCCAGCATTTCAGGAAACAGCGCCCCCCAGAGGGAACAGCCAGCGTTTCAGCAACAGCGCCGCCCAGAGGGAACAGCCAGCATTTCAGGCAACAGCGCCCCCCAGAGGGAACAGCCAGCATTTCGGCATTACAGACTCTCAGACACTGGGCTGCTATATATATGATATATGTGTGTGAAAAAGAAAGTAATCCTACAATAATGCGGTTGATTAGCCACAGATTTCCATGGGACGGCTACTTTTTATTTCCTGATACGTGAGTACAATTGAGATGAGATATTTTTGTACTTTTACTCCAGTCATTTTCCAGGAGGATACTTTGATGTTTACTGAGTTACATGTTTCAAAGTAGCAGTACTTTTACTCAAGTGACTTTTTTGGGGACTTTTTCAACTGACTGATTGTGGCCCCCAGACTCCTTCCCACAAACCCTCTCAATTTCTCCACTTGTAATTCGGCTTCAAGGGTGAACTGTGCACAACCCGTGTGGCTGTGAACTGTATACACCCGTGTGGCTAGGGACATGACTTCTGACCCGGCTACCGGAGAGATCTCACAGAGCAACAGTAAATGGGGATGAGGGATCCAGCGGGCGCGGATGTCAGGTTCTGGCATGGATCCCTTCTCAGCCCGGGGCCGTACGATGCCTCCCTTAGTGCCAAGGGTGGAGACCCAGTCCTGCCTCTAAGCCCAAAGGCCAGATCCAACCTGCCTCCCTCCAGGGTCCCCTCCCTCCCCTCCAGTGGAGTCCGGGCTGCTCAGGACCAGAGGGGGCTGGATGGACCAATCTACATGGGGCCAGGCATGAGACAGAGGAGACACACACAGACCTGCATGCTCAGGAGAGTTTATTGCTGTAGCAGCTGCAGCTGTAGAGGGTGAGAGAGGGAGGGGACAGGGGTGTAACTAGCACAGAGACACTGGGGGGAGGCAGTTTGCAGCCGAAGACCTGAAAGCCGCTCTTTCAGAGAGGGGCAGGACTGGCCCCTGATGCAGCAAAGCAGCCGAAAGTCTGGGACGTTGCCTGATCGTGCGCAGGGGCCCAGTTCCTTGCAGCCCAGGCGCTGAGCTCCCTGTCGGGCCCAGGCAAACAGCTCCTCTCACTGCGGCGTGTACTTGCAAACATAGGTGTTTTTCTTCTCGCAGGGAATATCGTTCCAGTTCTTATAACCTAGAAGGCAAGACAGAAATCACTGGGGTGGGAGAAGGGCAAGTGGGTGGTGCCTGCCCTGGCAGTGCCCCCTCCCCCGATGGCATCGTGCGGAGAGACGACCCCGCGGCTGTGTCACCCATTCCCAGCCTCTGACAAAGTTTTTCTTATTGTCCAGCCCGAGCGTCTCTTGCTGCAATTCAAACCCTTTGCTTCTTGTCCTGCCACCAGAGGTTACTGGGGACAATTTTCCTCCCTGCTCCTTGCAACCCCCTTTCAGGTATTTGGAAGCTGCTCTCCTGCCCCCTCTCCGTCTTCTCCTCTCCACAAGGAACAAACCCCATTTTGTCAACCTTCCCTCCCAGCTCATGTGTTCGAGAAGGTTCATCAGTTTCATTGCTCTGGCAGTGCCCCCCTCCCCCGATGGCATCGTGCGGAGAGACGACCCCACGACAGTGTCACCCATTCCCAGCCTCTGACAAAGTTTTTCTTATTGTCCAGCCCGAGCGTCTCTTGCTGCAATTCAAACCCTTTGCTTCTTGTCCTGCCACCAGAGGTTACTGGGGACAAGTTTTCTCCCTGCTCCTTGCAACCCCCTTTAGGTATTTGGAAGCTGCTCTCCTGCCCCCTCTCCGTCTTCTCCTCTCCACAAGGAACAAACCCCATTTTGTCAACCTTCCCTCCCAGCTCATGTGTTCGAGAAGGTTCATCAGTTTCATTGCTCTGGACCTTCTCCAGTTTGTCCATATTTTCCCTGCAATGTGGTGCCAGAACTGGACACACTATTCCAGCTGAGGCCAATGTGGGGCAGAGCAGAGCAGAAGAATCGCTTCTCGGGTCTGGCTCCCAACACTCCGGTTCATGCCGCCCAGAAGGAGGTTTTCTGTTTTTGGCAGCCGTGTGGCACTTGTTGATGTGAAGTGATGGGATTAGAACAGCCCCTCTCCCGGACGTGTGAGCCGTGGCCAGAAAGGGGTTAAACAATCCCAGGCCAAACGGCTGGGCGTGAACTTGTCCGGGCGTGTGGGAGCAGTTGGCCAGTGACAAGTAGGACCGGCCAGGGCTGGGAGGCACATGGACGGTGAATTAGAGGGAAGACTAGTTGGATGTGGGTACTTGGACCTTAGAGATGCTACCATGGAAAAAGACATTTCCTCTGTCTCAGAGATCAGCTGGGGGAGCCGGGGGAGAGGCAGGGAGATGGGACAGGAGGCCAGGCCCTCAGCGGGCTGTGTGGTGTGCACAGGGTCCTGGTGGGGCTCCTTTGCTGGAGCAGGTGTGTTTGAGCCTCTGCTTACCGGTGGATGCGTACACCTCACCACAGTACTCCTTGCCTCCAAGGTTGTTTGGTTCATTGGGCACCCAAGTTGTGTAGTGAAAGCGGGAGCCATCTGACCACAGCCAGGTCTTGCCCTGCAGACCCAGGGGAGAAAGGTTGTGGGGAGCCGGGCAGAAGAGACCCTGGTGATGCGGCACCATAGACACACCAAACCCGCATGCAGCAGGGCCCTGCTCAGGCCGGGGCGAGAGCGGGGGAAGGGGCAGCCCAGAGACACGGACGTCACAGTAACGCTCAGCCCCTCAACTTTCCCTTCTGCCCCCCAAGCCCTTCACTGATGGACCAAATTCCCCCCCCCCCCCCCCCCGGCCCCCCGGGGGGGCGGCCCCCGCGGGC